CTGCCTGACGAAAGCTCGTCGGAGGTTAGGGGCGTCGATCGTTTCATCTGACTTTGGACTTTTATCGGTCATTAGCGGTATATGATCACTAATTTGGTCATCGAGTGCTTTATAGGCTATTTGTGGTTGAACCGTGCAAATTAATCACAATACCCATGACTATTATTGGTGCAGTTTATGAGAAGAAACTCCTAACTATGTTGTAGAAGAGGTTTTTTTTTTTGTCTTTAATTTGTCTTGATACGTCTACTGAATTTCATTGCATCCAGTTATGCTCAGTTATAAAACAACATTTAATGATGCAATCTGGCGCATGAAAAGTTCAACTCGGGGGAAGTAGAGGGGGGGGGGGGGGGGGGTGGGAGGAGGAGGGAGAAGAGGGGAAGGGGGAGGGAGGGGGGGGAGGAGGGGAAAACTCAAAAAAAAGGGGGAAAGGGGGGGGAAAGGGGGGGAGGAGAGGGAGAGGGGGGGGAGGGGGGGGGGAAAGAAAAAAAGAAGAAAGAAGGGAAGGAAGAGGGCGAGTGGGGAGGGAAGTGGAGGAGGAAAAGAAGGAAGAGAGAGCGAGAGGGAAGGGAGAGTGGGTGGTGGTGGCGGAGAGGTTGGGGATGGGGGGGGGAGAGGGGGGGGAGAAAAAGGGGAGGGGAGAAGGAGAGTGAAATGAAGGAGACGGAAGGAGAGGAAAGAGTGAAACGTGTACAACGAGCTGGTCAAGTTCTGAAATTTAGTTGGGGGGTGAAGAGAAGTGGTGAAAGAGAACCTAATGAGCTTGACATAAGATTTCCCTCGTTTGTGAAGAGAAAACTGCGTGTTATTGAAAGTTGTTGAGGTTAATGGATAGTCGGTCTTGAGATTAAGAAATAATTATATATTATCCAAAAGATCGACTGTTTTTGAAACCCCCAAAAACATTCAATATAATTCCATAAAAAGAATGATTTAAGCTTAAAAAGGGGTTGGTACGCCAGGGTCATACACCGGTGTTTCGGAGGTTCGTCCTCCTCATCAGTGACCCCCGCCCCACATTCAGCCCTGCATTGAAGCAAGGAGGACACTACTTCAATCGTGAAATGCTTCACCACACTCGATTTGTTGAAATGTGACGGCTCTCAAGGCCAACACTATTTGTTATTAGTGTGGGTGCTGTGGAGACTCAATTCCAATCAACGTTATTTTGGTAAAGACGAAAACGTTGAGATGTTTGCCATAAGGAGAAATTTATAGCAAGCTTGTGTGAGCTCGAATAGAATGTTGTGTTATTCAAAATTAATACTCCACTTCTAGGAGGATAAGTTAGACTGACTCGATACTTTGTACGCCCTCGCAAGTCATTGTAAAAGTCATATGTGCATTCAGTCACTTCAAACAAAGTTAATAAATGAAGGCAAATGCATGGTACATCCGTTAGCGATTTATCAACGCCGAGAGTTTAATCCTAATATCGAAAGTGAAGTTGTAAGTTACTTGTGCATTACGGAAGAATTTGGTTGAGCAAGCTGCAAGTAGGTGCTAATAGGAACACTAGTAAGTTCTGCATAGAGAAAAAATGATAAAGCTTTCGGTGCTGATCAATCCCTAATTGATGCGCCATGCATTGTGCACCATGCATCTTCAATTTCTAACTTCGTTTGAGGTGACTGAATGCATACCTGGTCTCTACAATCCCAGGACCGGCTAATTATCCAACTCGGCATAGTTTGAATAAATGGGTAGTTTCTTCTGTTGAGCCGAAGTGATTTTAATTACTGAATGTTAGCGAAGCAATACAACAAGTACAGTTAGTAATGCGACATGAATATTACATTAAGCGTGGGGGCTAACTTTTCGGTGGGTCGCCTTCTTTAGAGCCGTTGCGATGTTCTAGGTCTATCAATTATTCATTGGAGACCAGCCGCTCAGTGCATCGATAGGCTGTCTTTACAATGGCTCGCAGTGGCCTCCCGCTGTTTTGGGTCAATGCTTCTTATCTTTCCAGACAGTGCTAGGTCCAGTCCGGTGCTAATTTTGCCACCCTGGAGGGATGGATAGCTTGATGAGTCATGAGCGCAAGATCAAACCTTTCACTTGCAGAGCACCTCTAACTACTGCGCAACATGCTCTCGGAAGTACTGCATATTCATCCTTTATTCACTGTTGTCGCTGGGATTTACTGTCTTCAGAGGAGTGCTTTTGGAAGTGGACTGAGGACACTACGAGTTTATTTGACATTCCCAAGCTTCAAATAAAGACAAACTTTTAAAACTCGAACCAATATTGTACTGTACTGTACCCACTGAAATCAAGCGGACACTGCTGAAGAAAACAGGTGAGTGGTCAAAAAAGTTCTCGTCGCCCGGATTTTTACCCTACTGTTGACAATAGGAGATATTCAAGAAAACGTAAGGCTCAGATGCAATAAAACTACAAACTGGAAATGCCCATGTTTGTGACTGTGGAACAAGCATATCAATTGCGATTAGAAGAATGATGAGTGGAAAAAGACAGTCTCACATTCACAAGATTGGCGACAAGAAAGCTCAACAAGGGTTGAATTATGTTCGTTTTTTAAAGAAGTCGTTCCTACTGAAAAATAAGAATCGTTTGCTACGAATGTGCGTTCTTATTGCTACAAGCGCCCATGGAAATCTCTTTGACAACTTGCTATTTTTTTAAGGTGGTAAAGTGTTTCGACTGTTTCAGTTTTGCTGTATAATTGCCACCTAGTCACGTTTTGAAGTTCAAACAACGAGCAAATACTCAAATATTAAGCCGTGCTTTGCTCATCGTTGGTATTATGCACTAAGAAGGCCTATCTATGAGTAATAAATCTGCAGCATCAGTAAAAAGTTCGAAGCACTTGGGTGAAGAAGACGTACTCCCTGGAAAAGGTAGTCAACAAAATGTTGAATAGGAACTCTATCGAGGTTCACTCTGACTGGACACTAAAATCCTCAGTATAGGTTGTGAAAAGTCAAAGATTGCAGGAAATATATATTCTGCTTACACTCTTGCAATATCGTTGAAAGAAATGTTCAGAAAAATGTTGGAAATGTGGTGTTATTCCACGAATGTGGATTTTGTCATAAAAAGTAGAGGTTTTTGAGATATTTCGTAATTTTCTTTGCTTCAATAAACATAGGATTGTTAATACAAGTTTATTTTGTGCAAAGTAGTGTACAACAGAGGTTGTATCGGTGGCTAACGTTTCGACTGTATTTCCTTTGTCAAAGCTGTTTTGCTGTTATGGTGTCCACTAAATATGTAAACCAGCCGCACTGAGTCTTACATGGACGAGGTGTGCCGTCAGAACCCATTTGATGATTATATATCTTTTCTTGCAAGAAAGTTTTCTTAGTATCAAAAATCTGTTAACTGCCAATTTCATAGCAATGTCTTCCGTGAGATGCCAAAGTAAAATTAGTGGTTGGGCAAATGTGCCTGGGTGGTGCAGTGGTAGAGCACGCGTGTAAGACTAAAAGCGGGCTCGACTCCTGCCTGAGGCCACGTTTTTGCTCTCCACTCATTTCTCTTAGGTATTTATAATAGAAGTATTTTCACAAAACAGGCCTCGTTTCCAAAACATCATTTCTCAAGCTATAAGTCGAGTACAAAATTGTAGCTAAAGCTTGATGAAAGCGTTCACTAACATCAACAAATACAGCAGGTCATCATTTTTCTACAGATTGTCTGAACCGTTCAGTCTTCCGATGTTCCGGGAAGTATTCTGCACAAACTAGAGAGTTGGAAATGCTGCAGCAACTGACATCTTGTCTAGCTATTGCCTTCATGATTAAATTAGAACACCCGTACCTGATATCCGGCCATTACTCTACTGTAGCTATGAAGACTTTCATTTGGTTATCTGCTTCACTCAAGAACTGGGCAGATGTTTCAGATTATTGGATGGCAGTTAGAGTCCATAAAGTTTAATCGTGAGATATCGAAAAATAAATGGATCTTTTCCTGAACGTGCAAATAAATCTGTCCGATAATGATTACATTATGAAGCGGTACCGAAAGCCAATTAGCGAAAACACCTTGGTTCATTCCGTACAGCGGCCGGTGTGAGTAATGGAAGAGAGCAAAGAGTAGAATCCTTGAACTTGGCTTGGGGTATGGCCATTTCTAATGGCTACGAAACTGTAACTTCTCGGTATAGGTTTAGAGGGAATAACGCGCTCTCAAACGATACTTACAATAAAAACAAGGTTCCCGTTAATTTCCCTTTTCTTTCCAAATAAGATGATTATAGATATGAAACGTTATTTGAAAGAGACAGACTTGGAGAAATCGGCAACAATTATTGAAAGACCACCGAATATTTTAAGGAGCTAACTAATTCTTTATCGCTTATACGACCGTCTGTGTGAAACGAAAGGATGCATAATATGCCCTCATGGTAGAGACGGTGAATGCATGAGCATGGTTACACTCGATCTAATTTCTTATGAAAAGTGCGGCAATGAATATATAGGCGAAAGGGGAATGTCTCTATATGGCCGTATGAAAGAACATCTAAACAAGAGAGATAAATTGATTGAAAAACGCCACTATGTACGCATATGGTGCAGATACACACGAAGGTGAACCTCGAGGTGGAATTATCCATGGTAACACAGGAGACCGCTCTTTGTGGATCCGAGACAAACACATTCCTCATTCTTGTAATACTCAGTACGGCCGGACTACATGTTGAGTAATGGACTGCTGAACAACGAAATGCGGTGAGTATTCAGTAAAGTGGATTACTATACGTTTCAACGTCCACGATTCCGTTAGGTTTCATGTTATCTGGTTGCAAAAAGTGTTAATCTATGTGGATTCAACTCTTTTAGGCTCTGACGAAGGTGAAACTGTCAAAACGTTGGCCACTGATACGAACTCTGTTGTACTGTTTCAAACAAAATAAACGTGCATTAATAACCTGCTGTTTGCTGAACTAAAGCAAGTCACGGATTTATCCAATTAGTGTGGAGGTTAACCGATAATCGGTCTCGATAATCGCTTCGAGAAGTGTTGTTATAGTTCCAAGTTCAGTCAATTCTAAAAGAGAGCTAGAACCTGTAATCAAAATAGTCATGCTGAACCCATATGAGCAGGTATTTCCGAGACTATTTCTCTCAAAAAATGCTATCAGAAGGCGTCTAGAAAAACAATCCTTTGAGGAGATCTGTGGACAATACAGAAATTCCACACAACACATCACATTTGTACTTGTTCATTCAAAATTGTCTTACTTCAAGAAAGGATAGAGCATTAAGCTCTTGACGTTGTTGGGCCCCTGAGGAACGCTCCATGCAATCGTCATCAATTTTTAGCCTCGTTTGATTGAGGTGGTTGAATGCAAATTTGGTCTTCATAATGCTTTGTGGAGGCTTGCCGATATATAAAGTCAGTGCTGCTATCCTTGCAGATAAGTGTGGTACCAATATACTCACCCCGAAGGGACGAAAAGCTTGAGGAGCCTTGAACACAGGGTTGAGACAATGATCACGTGCGTGACGCAGAGCACTTCTAACACTTCTCCACGCGCGCTCGTTCTTGTTCGCACCTGAGAAAGTATTGTTCAAGCACGCCGAGCTAAGTGAGAGCAAATTTTCAAAACATAGAGAATTGAGAGTCGCTGATTAACCAGGTTATAAATGTCCTTTTCTTTGATTCAAAACTTGCACGAGGTTATTATTTCTCTTCCCTCAAGACTTGATACAAAATAAGTTTTGAAAGAGGAGAAATAGCAACCTCGTGCAAGTTTTAGTTAAAGAAAGGGACAGTTTGTAACAAGTTTTATAGTTCTTCACTCATGTCAATGTTCAAAGAAAGTCGCACTTTTGAGCCATTAGCCAGGTTATAGTGCAATGGTTGCGCTGCTGAGCTGCTGGAACTAACATCGTGTTCTTCAAGTTTTCCAACATTCGACACTAACATGGAGTTCTTCGATTTTTCAAGAAAACGGCAATGATACTCGTTTCTTTTAAGTGAAATGTGCTAACCACAGTACCCTATTCAAGGCTGCAGGAGAATGCCGCGGCGAAACTTCGTCGCTCAAAAATTCAATCAAAACGACATAGAGCTCTTACTCAGCTATGTTTAGCGTCCATAAATTTATCCTAAAGTGCCGATGATTCAGCTGTGGTGGTTGTGCCTCCAATTTGTCTTTCCTGAGCAGAGAAGCCATAATCTTCTCAATAGCAGTTTCTTGAACTAACTAATGACCTTTCTACTAACTAATCGTGGAAATTTTGGAGTAGTAACGAAGAATCTTCTGTAGAAGCGAAATATCTTGTGCGTTGAAGAGCCTGAAATAGCAAAATAAGTTATATAGTTTTTTGAGCTGTATCGTAGACAACATTCCATTCTGATCCTCACTGAACTTCTCAGTGGGCTATTAATATTTTGTTGTAATTATGACTTTCAAAAATTATGAATCTTTATGGAGGAAGAAGCTCTCGACGTTGATCAATCCCTGAGGAAAGCGTCATGTAGTCGTCTTCAATTGTTGATTTCGCTCAAGGTGTTTTAAAGTGCATATCTGGTTTTCACACTAACTCAACATGGCCTACCGCTATACCGAGTCAGTCTGCTCATCCTCCCAGACAACTGTGGCGGCAATTTAGGCAGTCCAATATATGGACTTCGGAGAAATGGGTAATTTGGTTAACCATGAGCGCGAGACTGAACCATCGACTCTGTGTGCGACGCAGAGCGCCTCTAACCACTACACCACATAAGATCCTATAATTTAATATATGTCTAACATTTTCATGGTTTCGCTTTCCTCAGTCTCGCGATGTTGATTTTTGCAGTCGTCACAGAGGAACCTAGTAGAGTGCTCAATCACCCCTTTTCGGCGTTCGTGAAAAATCTCATAACATAGCCTATGAATCTACAGCGCCCACAGTCCTTTCGGATTTGTCATTGGTGAACAGACAGAACAGAATTATTATTTTCTAAGCCAGATAATTATGTTAACATGATGAAGTTAGATAAAGCTTCTCCTTTTACTACAAGTGTGATATTTGCTTGAAGACCAAAAAGGCTCCCATCAAAACACCGTACCTGCAGAATTATAAGTGAAAGGTTTCCAACAGTAACACGCCGTTAGTCGCGTTCCTGAATAGTTGTCTGCAAAATGACCGATGAGTTTTTCTACTGTCTAATAACTGAGCTGTTGGTGTACTGATGAGCCTCATCAGTGACCACCACCTCGACCGTCTGCGCCGCTGACACAACAAAATAATGTCGGCCGATGTTCTGTGTTGTACTGTTTCATGAAGCCTGCAATGGCATTTGCTTCAAAAACTTGTTTCAAGAAATCATCAGTGACTTAGCGGCAGCATTTTTGAACAGAGCCACTTTTCTGCCGTTAAGTAACTCAGCTCAAATGCTTATCACCACTCTGGCTGGTTTTGCAATCGAAGGGATGCTCGATACATGACGAAGAGCAAACTGACGAATGTCTGTCACTTTGTTCATTTAGAACTTCTTCAGAAGCTCAAGCTACAAAATAAGTTCAATTAATTGCCTGTTTGAGTAAACTGCATTTCGATTTTCATGTAATTCTTATATACCTTACCGGCGAGTTTAATCACGCTAGTGCTTTTGTCCTCAGATATAGACTTGACTCCAATTCACTGAACCCGAAAAGATGAAAAGCTTGGTGAGTCAACGCGACAGAACCATTAACCATTAAATAACAGAACTTGAGTGCATCGCAGAGGTACTCAGAGGTCAGCAGAGGTCACTGCGTCACTAACGCTTTGGGTATCAGTATGATCGTAAAATTTCAAAGAAGATTTTTCTCAGGTGTACCGGATGTGAGAGGCTAGTGAGAACATTGAAGTTTAGTAATTGCAACTTCTGTCTAATAATAATTAGTTGAAAAAAAGCGGTTTATAGAGATTGTTGCGTTTGATTTTGTCATTTGATGTCTTCATTTACAGATTCCCTCTCAAAAGTGCAGTTGCGATTTCGGTGTTTTGTCGACTATAAACATTCTATTTTCGAGAGAGTCAGGATTTTATGTCGCAGCATGAGAAGTGAGAAGGCGTGGGCCAAATTTTTGCCACGCCGCTTTAGGAATTGACGCATCATGAAATTTCTCTTTGAGTTGTCTCTTCCATGAATTCTATTGTCAGCGAACTTTTGTCATGTATTTAACTTCATTGATCGAGTCCCCTTCGTTTTATAACAGCAGAATCACAATGGTCTCATGCTCTTGAAGGCTCAACGAGATGTAACACCGATCTTGGCCACGTTATAGTGCTTTACATGTATAAATGCTATGTACCGATTTGGTTGATGTCAATGTTCTGTTGCAAAAAGTGGGAAAATTGTTCCCAGTACAGACTGCATTATTTGCTAAGAGTTTTAGGAAAAAAACAATAGTTCTTCCAAAGATGGCGAGATTCCTCCAGATTCCTTCTTGATTTCGTGATTAGCTACAATACTGTCAGTGTTGGGATGTGGAGTGATGATCGCAGGTCAAGGTAGTAAACAAAAGTTT